CCCCAAAACCCCAAAACCCCAAAACCCCATAAGTTTAATATTCTTCAAATATCTTAGTTATGAAATTAAAATATTATTTTTCTTAATTATCAATTTGTATTTAAGGTGAATTCATTTTCTTGATTTAAGTCTTTGTCCAAACGTTGGCTCTCTTTTTCTAAATCTAATGCTTTTCTTTTGAGACTTTGTATTGTCTTCTTCAAAGATCTTATTTCTGGATCTTGGCTTGCTCTTCATGTGTAGAACTCGAATTTTTTCTTTTTAGTTTTTCAGACTATTATCCATTCTCTCCTAGGTCGCAGCTTTGAAAGTTTTACTTACATTTTAATTTTGATTTATAGGAGCAATAGCAGATCCCTTGAAATTCTAATCGGCTCTGTGCTCGGTCTTTGTTCCAATATTTACAGGCAATCCTTTTTATTTGTTTTACTGAATGAGGGTCTCTTTATTTTTTAAACTGAATGCGCTTCCCTTTATTTTTAAGGGTTCTTAAAGCTCGTTTGCTTTTTTCATTTCAGTTAATATTGGATTATCTTTCTCTCTTACTAAGCTCATGACAAATCCTGGCCTACCTGCTCTTCCAGCTCTGCCGGCTCTGTGTAAGTAGTCAGAGGTAGATTTAGGGAAATCGAAATTGATAATGTGAGAGACAAATGGCATATCAAGACCTCTGCTAGCCAAATCTGAGGCAACTAAAATATCTGCTTTTCTGGTCAGGAATCGTTCAAAATTTTACATTCTAATTCTAGGAGGCATTTCACCATGTAAACTCGCAGTTTTATATGATTCATTTGCTAGACCATGCTCAATTGCTCTAGCAGATGCCACAGAGTTACAAAATATTACGCATGAAGTTTCATTTTTCAATGCATACTATTTATATTCCTTGACTAGAAGTAAGAGTGGCTTCATCTTATCATAGTCAGCTAACTTGATGAATTCATGTTTAAGATGACTAAGATTCATATGTGTGTGTTTCTCTACTAATTTCGCGAAATCTTTGCTATCTGGGAAATAATCTTTAAGTAATTAATCCATCGGAGATGTCACTGTAGCTGTTGAGAAAATGAGTTATTTTTTAACCCCCTATCTCTCGGCTCCTGATAAGTACTACTCAATGATTTTTCTAATTTTAATTTCGTGACCGCTATCAAGAAAAGTATCTAGTTCATCGATGACAAGGCTTTAGACATTTGATAAGAATAACTTTTCACCGTCACGTCTATATTAAAATCTCTCCAATGTAGAAACTAGGATATCTACACCATCTGCTAACTTATCTGTCTCTATTCTGTGGCTTTAACCTGAATAAATACTGAAATATTTCATAGGCACATCATAGGTAAATGGCTTAAGACTAAAGTTTAAGACTTATTAAGCAAGCTCTCTTGATGGCTAAAGTATAATAGATCTTGGTTTGTTTGGAATTGTAAGACGAGTTTGATTTTCCATCTCCTACTTTTTAAGCTAATCAATTATAGGTATAACATAAGCAAGAGTCTTTCCCGTTCCAGTTTGAGCAGCTAACAAAGCACTCTTTGATTACAATAAATGTGGTATAGCCATTTACTAAATTGGGGACGGAGTCAAGATTTCCATCTTTTTCTCAAGAATATCAACTATTTCAGGGAGTAATCGATATTTCCTGAAGGTCAAATCTTGCTTAATTTCTGGTTATACTATTTTTTCTCTTACTTTCTGTTGTTCAATAACATAGGTATTTCTCATATTATCTCTAGATCTATAATTAGGCACAAAGGTTGAAAGCAATCTCATTGAGCCTTAGCTACTCAGCAAACCATTTTATCTCATATTATTTTAAGAGAAATTCATCCATTTTATAGTCCACATATTTTAATAGTTTTATAAATAAACAAATAATATGCTAATTAGAAGAGAGGGGTTTTGGGGTTTTGGGGTTTTGGGGTTTTGGGG